TTGGATGAGTTGTGTGTGAATGAGTTAGACTTGGAGAATGTGTGGCATAATGTTAAGAAAGGTTTAGTGGATGCAGCTACCGAAGTATGTGGTGTTAGTAAGAGAACGAATGAAAGGAAAGACAATACGTTATGGTGGGATGATGAGGTACGTATGGAAGTTGAAGCAAAGAAGAGAGCATGGCTAGATTTACTAGCGACCAAAGCTGGTAACTCTGGCGGTAAGAATGATGAGAATGAAAGAAAATAGGCAAAGTTTAAACGTTTAAATAAGAGAGTAAAAGAATTAGTTGAAAGGAAAAAGCAAGAAAGAACGGATAGGAATGATAGAAGAATATCGGATAACTTCCAGGCAAATATTAAAATGTTCTGGAAACTCGTAAGAAATACCAGGGGACTTTCAAAACAGCCTAGATTGAATGCGATACGAGACGAGAATGGCTGTATCCTGAATGATGAAGTGTTGAGTCTAAAGAGATGGAAGGAATATTTTGAAAGCGAATTTATGAGTGAGGAGAAGTGTGAACTAAATGAAATAGAAATTCCGAAAGAAGATGAAAGAGATAGGGAGATAAGTATAGATGAAATAAAGAAAGCAATGAAAAGTATGAAAGTAGGTAAGGCAGCCGGATATGATAGAGTTTCACTCGAAATGCTAAGGGCTGGAGAGGACGTGGTGGCAGGCCTGCTGTACACCTTGTTTAATTTATGTTGGGAACTAAAGCGGGTACCGGGGGACTGGTGCAAAGCCGTGATAGTCCCAATATATAAGGGAAAAGGGTCACAGCAGGACTGTAAAAACTACCGTGGTATCAGCCTTCTTAGCATTGTGGGAAAACTGTATGCTAAGGTACTAATTGAAAGAGTTATGAAAGAAACTGATGAAAAAATTTGGGATGTGCAAGCGGAATTTAGAAAGGGAATGGGGTGTACAGATCAAGTCTTTTCCATGCGCATGATCGCGGAGAAGTTTTTGGCGAAAAACCAAAAAGTTTTTTGTGCGTTCATGGACTTGGAAAAGGCTTATGACAGAGTGGACAGGGATGTGTTATGGCAAACGCTGAACGCATTTAGGTTGAGCGCTGGTTTGATACAGGTATTAAAGTCTCTGTATAGGGACTCGAGTGCTTGTGTTAGAATCAACGGGGTCTACTCGGACTGGTTTGGCATCCATAAAGGTGTCAGACAGGGCTGTGTAGCTTCCCCGTGGCTGTTCAACCTATTTATGGACAGCTGTTTGGAAAATTTGAAAGTTGAAGAATGCGGGTTAAAAATGGGTGAGTTAACCATCAAATGCCTTTTGTACGCCAATGATCAAATCATACTTGCGTCGTCGGCGGCCGAGTTGCAAATGATGGTTACATTAATGAACAGGTCATTAAAAGAAAGGGGAATGAATGTGAACGCAAGTAAGACGAAAGTGATGGTTTTTGAAAGAGATGAAAGCAAAACGGTATGTGAAATAAGAATAGAAGGAGAGTTAATTGAGCAAGTGGATGAGTTCGTATATTTGGGATGTGTATTCAGCAGGGATGGGAGATATGATAAGGACATTGAACGACGAGTGAATGCAGGAAATAAAGTAAATGCGGCTTTACACTCTATTGTGAAAAGTCAGAATGTGTCAAAAAAATGCACGTATGGCAATTCACAGTGCTGTATTAGTCCCTACTTTAACGTATGGTAGTGAAAGTTGGGTGTGGCAGAAGAAGCACGAGAGTAGAATAAATGCAGTAGAAATGCGGTCGCTAAGGAGTATGTTAGGGCTGAATCTGAGTGACAGGGTGAGAAACTGTGTGATAAAAGAAGAGTGTGGTTTGCAAGATGATGCGGTGACCAGGATTAAGAAAGGAATGCTTCGGTGGTTTGGTCATGTAGAAAGAATGAATGCGGAAAGACTGACAAAGCAAATATATGTTGCAGAAGTGAATGGAAGAGTCGGAAAGGGACGTCCTAGGCGGAAGTTTGTCGACCAAATTGGCGATATAATAAAAATGGGCCAAATTAAGAGTACCCTTAACCGACGAGCATGTATGCGTAGGTATATGGATGTGGAAGAGGCGAGAAAGGTATGTCAGGATCGTGCTAAATGGAAGTCTGTAGTCTCTGCCTACCCCTCTGGGTGACAGGCGTGAGTGTTTATGTATGTATGTAAACAAGTTTGACAAAACCTTGTGACAAGACCGAGAATCTTTTTTTTTTTTAAATAAATGGTATTCGATTTTTAAAACCAAGGAGTTTTCAATTAAAAAGATTTTAATATGACAGGAACAGTGGAAATATTCCATTCCCGATACTTTTAGTGCAGCCTTACGTATCTAATTGTGTACTAAAATGTACAGCAGTATCTTTAAGGTAACTGGGATCAAAGACATTTATTCTCATAAGAATTTACAAAAAAAAAATCACTTCATAACAGGATTGATGATCGCCCGTGCAAACAAAAACAAACGATGCAAGCGAACACAGATACGTAGATTTAAAGATTCTTTGCTAGAATTGACTAGCCATCATAACGGGAATTATTGTAATATTGTTATATTATATTAATTATTAATATGAATGTTTAACGATATTTAGTAACCGTAGTGATGGTTTTAAGCTATTGCATAGCTTCTATCGCGGACCTTGAGCACGGGGACCGACCAGAAATTCCGTAACGAAAAAAACCTCACACTCCCCACTCCGATGGGCACGGAGGTGTGGCGTTGAAAGCCGTGCATCGTCTAACGTCGTTTTAGTTCGGCAGACTTCGGCACGGTGTTTGTGTGCGTGTACACTAGCTGCTAACTCAATGATAAAAATTCCTGAATAACCTATATGTATTGTAAGATATTAAAAATATTTTAAACAATATTAACTTCTCATTTATTCAATAAGAGAAAAAAAATGTTTTTTTTATCGGTCACCACGCTCAAAAAGTGTAACTTGATTTAATATCAAAGACTTAACTGCATAAATAAAATAAATAAATAATTATAATTGCATAAGTTAAAAATACAAATACAAATACTTTTTAATATTTATTCGTTTATTATATATTTATTTGTTTGATAGTTTTTTTTTTTTTTGTTTAGAAGTAGTTAGGGTGTTATTATAGTTTGTGATTTTGTAGGCTATTTTTAACAGTCTTTTAAATGTTAGCATACTTTTAGCTTTCTTGATATTTACAGGCAATTTATTGTATAGTTGTGCGCTTTCATAAGTAATATTCTTTTTTTCCGTAGTTGTTTCCTGGCCGTCACAGAATTAAATTATTAGCACTTCTTAACATTTTAGTTTGCACATTTTTCTTTTTTGTAAAGGTTAAGTTAGTATGTATGTTTTTATTTAAAAATTTTCGTACTAGTACGCAGGAAAAGTATTTGTATGATTGTTCTATATTAAGTATTTTATTATCTTTGTATATTTTGGTTGTAGATGTCAGGAAATGATGTCAGGAAATCATAACCGAAAAGAATTTTGATCAACTTCTTTTGCGCGATTTGAACAGAATTGAGATTAGTTTCGGCAGCTGATCCCCAGATTTCTACCAGATAATCAATGTGTGGCTTAGCTAGGGAGTTATAAATAGTGTAACGGACTTTTTGTGGCAGACAGCGAACTATTCCGCGTAGTGCTCCGGTTAGGGATATCAGTTTTTGTTTTATTTTTTTCAAGTGTTCTTTCCAAGTCAGTTGGTTATCTAAAGTAAGGCCCAAATACTTCTCGCTTGTTACTTTATTGATTACTGTCATTTATTTTTAGCGGTACCAGTGTATCGACACGTGTACAATTTAATGGTATGTGTAAATGCAATGAACACAAACGTAATGTAGTGTGTGTGTATAGTGACGCGATTCAGTTTTGCATTTGTAGTGAAGTATACAGTAGTGTGTTTTCCTCGCCTCTTCCTGAAATTGTCAGACTTTTTGTTTAGGAATTAACGCGCATGGCCTCTCCAGTAAATACTCAAAGATCGTTACATCTGTTTCAGTTATTTCCAAACAACATTTAATTGAGATTTGATATATCTGGTACTATAAAACGTAGGGTGGCAGACAAAAATGTTAAATGATTAGAAATGCGAGAGCCTACCACTAGAAGCAATTACTTCAATTACCAGTGACGATTGAAAGAAAGTAATAAGCCTCATCAAACAAATCGAAAATGAATAACGGCAATGGGAGACATTTCAAGGCGTTGATAACTTCAGTTTTATTATAAGTAAAGGTAAGAAAATGCCTATTTTTCTTTTAATAACAGTCGGTGGAATATTTTAAATACCTACATAAATACAGGTTTTATTTTTAAAGGGGGAAAGCAGCAGCGATGGTGACGACAATGACTACTCAGTTAGTGATGCAAAGCTGAGCTTAAGTAAAGTACTAGATTCCGATTAACTTTTTTGAGGTTCTTTTGTATTTTCTGTAATTAAATATTATTAAAAAAAAATCTGTTTTGCTCACTCTACCTAACTGGTTTGAATTGACAACTATGACGTCACAATATGGCGCCAAGTCAGTCCTATTCTTATTTGAATCGCATAGCAAACTCAGATTTTGAATCCTTAAGAGTGAAAATAAGCTAAGAAGTTCCCTTGTTGGCAAGACGTCACATAGCACAAAAATGCGTAACCAAGCCCAAACAGAAATTACCAAATCCGTAATTTTGCAAGCTCTAGTTCGCGTTCGGTTTGCTTTACGATCTTCATTATCTCCACTAACGAGTATTTGATTTCATTAGTATTATAATCTTTTTGGCAAATATTTTCAAATCAGTTTTTTACTATATTTTAATATCATAGTTTCTCAAAATTCTGCCAAGTACCAATAAGCATAGGTGGATAACAAAAATTTATGTTTTACGTGTAAGTACATAAATGTACTTAAATATACAATACTTACACTACTTGCTTATCGTAAAGTTTCCACTTATCAAAAAGTTGTATTGAAGTAGTAGCAGCATTAAGAAAAAAAGAATAAATAAACCTTTACAAAAAGGATTTTAAGTAATATTTACCGTTTGAGAAGGCAATTGCTGAGCATGTTTCTTCATCTTTTTTTTAGAAGGCTTACCCGAACTGGCACCTGCAATGGTTAATTATAAATTAAATGAATAACCCACGAGACCACTGATGCATATCACAATTATAATACATACCAATACAATTTGCAACTTGAAAAAGTATTTTTCTTGACTTTGAGCAATCTCTTTTGCAGTCTAAATATACATTGAATATTTTTTGTGATCAAATACTTATTATTAAAAGCTTTCAAATTACCATTTATTGCTAATGTTGTTACGTGGCTCAAGTAACATTCGCTATTTTCTCTTATTTTGATTTAAATTTATTAGTCCAAGAAATATTGTAAAAGGTGAATAAATATTCTTCGAAAACTGAAAAAAGAACAGTGTAATTGGTGCGTAGTTTCATATTAGTACCATTGCACATAAAACTTCAGATCTCAGGGTAGTGAAAATGAAATTCAAAATATGTTACTTAAAAGTTTTACTTAATTTTTGTTATATATTGAAATATATACAAGGTTCATTCCCACTCAATCTTATCAACTAATAATTTTAAGTCATGAGGGTTGATTAAATAAATTTTACATAAAATTTATTACACATGGTGCTCTTGTTTACATTTTCAATACATAAATATAACAAATGTAGCATAAAAGTAATCAATTGTACCAACTATTACTTTCTTAACAAACTCTTAATTCAATAAAATATATTTATACATGTCATTTCTAAGCAAAATAATAAATCGCAAGTACACACATCACTTGACAATTATAATCTCCATTACTTTAATTATTTGCAAAATTCTACCAGAGTACGTAACAGACTCAATTGTTCTCTTCATACTCAACCCAATAAAAAGGAATAAGAAATGCCTAAATCGGCAGCGGGGCACAACCGACCGAACCTAAAGGCTAACTACTAATCATTTCTATGTTGAGTCATCCTAATACCTTAGAACATTAATGATCTATGTTACAGAGAATATCTTATTCTACTATATATTATTATGTTCGCATTAGATAACACCTGCCATATAAATATACAAATATCCAATTATATGCTTTAATGCACGTGAAAATCCCATTGCAACTAAGTTTTAGTACTAAATGTCCTTTGTCTGCAACATCACATTACTGAAAGATTCTTTGCCAATCGGTTTTGCCCACGTAAATTTTTTGTATTTTAATCTAACTTACAATAAAACCTTTATAATAATAGAATTGTACTTGGGAAAAACATACATTGAGTGCATGTCCACTTTCTGCATTAAAATATTTTATTTTAGATATCATGGGGAATGTACAATTGGATGAGTTTTTAATGGACAAATAACTTACTTTAAAATACTGTTGTCTCAACTCTGATAAATTCTTATGATGCACGATATTACGTATATCATCATATAAAATAAATTCGTAAATGTATCTAAATAGGAGGTCAAAATTACAATATTGTACATACCTACATAAATGTATTTAAGTCACATGAGTGGAACATGTAACTGAACATACCCAGAATAATTTTTTTTACAATTTATTTAAAAGCTAAGAATAATTTATTTCAATAATAATATTCGAAGCATTGCAATTGATTTAATAACATAAAGATGTATAATTTATTGCTACAACTAACCACAACTGAAAAACATTTAGGAAATTGTATTTGAAATTTTTGTGACATCAATCAACCAAGTGAAATGAAAATAAGTACGCAAAGCCTGAATATGCAATTATATTTACCCTATTACATCATGGTAATTATTTGGGTCGCCCAATCACATTTTCACAAGTGATTTAGCCATGTTTTAAAGTGTGATGATTAAGTAAGGAACAATTACATAATAAAATATAGACGTTTTATTTATATTCAATATAATATATCCACTTTATCCTTGAGATGGATAAAAGAGCATATGATTTACAAATACGAAACCCTTGTCGAATAAAAAAAAACTGCTGTGAATTTTAGAGTTGATTCATATAGAATTCTCGTGCACAATATAATTTTCATTTCTTGTTAACAATATTAATGACAAAATGTGGCTATATTAAACATACCTTGTTTTCCTAAGAAAATGTCATTAATTAAGTGAGATGAATTGATCTCTTTCACAACTCTTTGCGCTGTTCTCCTCCCCCCTTCTTATGAATAAACAACAAAAAGGATTACAAAAAAGTTGCTTTAGTACCGTGATATGCAGCTGCCAAATGCAATAAATATTAGTTAGTTTCATATGGATTAAAACATAGGTGGCTATAGTTTTCATAAGGCCACATTTTCAATTCAGAAGGTAAAAATAGTTTAATATATTATATATTATACACTCTACATATAAAACAAGTTTTGCAAACAATTTGTGAAGGAAGGAGGCCAGCTTTAGGTATTTGGTCGTAAGAAATAATTTTTGGTCGTATATTTCATGAACTTTTTGGGAGCAAGCATCAATGTATTAAGCGGTAAACCAATAAACCATACCTTTTCAAATGAGTTAAAATTTTTAACTACAACATGTCACAAGATTACATCCTCGTCGTTGAAAAAGGACAGGGTGCAACAAGAGGCCGAAGAATTTTGCTTGCCAAGTTGGTATCCGTCCTTACACAATTGTTTGCATTAACGTAGCCGAGCGGCGCGGTAGCGGTGCGTCGATCCTCTTCCCCGCGACATTACACTACTAAGTCCTTCGAACTCTCCACAGAGTTCGCTCTAGCGACATATTTATTTTTTCAATTTCACACTCAAAAGCAATCAATTAGTACCGTGAGATCTGAAGTTTTTTTTATAGAAATTTGTAAAAAGATTGTAGTTTATAGGATGCAAATGAAATAACACCGTATTTTAGGACATGATATAGTTAAAAATATTAATATGAAAAGGTATTTCCTATTGGTTTATGAAAGCAAACCAAACAATAAAGATGTCTTACCGGCACCAATTACACTCTTATCAGCATACACCAAAGCTGGCTTCTCCTCCTTACCAACTAAGTGTTTTGTGCCTTTAACTATAATTGCTTAAAATGCTCAATGAGCAATGAATCCAAACAAAAATGAACCCGAGCTAATATGTGGTTATCCACCTTTTCAATATCACAGTAATGAAAAAAACATAATTCAATACCACATATCCCCACATTATTTACATTCAAACTCATACAGGTATCACAATACAAAATTAAAGTAACAAAAATCGTGAAACAAACATCTTTTTCATCATGTTGAGGTTATGTCTTTAAACAAACACTTCTTCTGGGGAACATTATTACATTTTGCAATATTTAATTACTGTAAAACAACATTCACTCTTGAAATCATACACTCCGTGATAATATATAATGTAAAATGAACTATCCCAAAGTGGATGAGCAAGCTTAAAATAACAATAGCTAAAATAAAATAAAAACATGTTGGATTTATAAATAATAGGATTTTAAAACGTGAGGTCTTCAATAAATAAAACATACAAAAAATATAAATTATCCACTCCTGAACAAAATTATCTACCAAGCAAATCAATCTCTATTTATAAACTATTCCCATTTTACCTAGATACTAACTTTCTGACTCTGTATACTATATCAGATACCATGACAATATCCATGGATATTCCCATGTCATTCAATGTGTCACTGACATTTTTCAGACTAGAATAACATTATTTAAGGGATTATTCAAACTGTAAAACCGCATTTCACATGTTATACGAAACAAAAAGAACCACAATCAGTCATACTTTAAAATACTGGCAAAGGTTATAAACCTTGTGTATTTCATTATTAATATTTACGAAAAAATAGCCTAAATATATTTATTTATAGATCTCAAGCACTTCAATATATCCTTAACTTGCACCAAAATACAACTAGTATAGAAGAGTTATTGACTTGGCACGTGAATGAGAGAGAGATTATATATTATACTCTGCATTTAAGAGGAAAAGGAAACCTCCATAATTTTATTTAATAAATGCACTACTTAAAAAGCTTATCAAAATAAAAGCATTTCAAAACCCACCATATGGTAAAAATATGCGACAATTGTACAAATATAGTTTTATATGCGTGTGCGCTTGCATGTACCTATGAAGGAATAGTAATATTATCAACAGCAAGCAATATTAAAAAAAGGTAACAATAGTAATAGTAAAATATAGTACTGTAGTAGTAAAAAAGTAAGAGAACATTATGAATAATTATAGTCATTGGGAAACTAGAATAATGAAAGAGTAATCTGGTAAATAAATTTATTAAGACCTAAAAGAATTCTGTTGTTTGCAGCAAATATTTTATTGATTTTGTCATATAAATACAATGAATGATAGAATGTAATGAAATTAAAATAAGTAGCATGTTTTTAAAAATTCATCAAATTAATATTAATATATTATGAGTCAGGTAAAGAATACAACATAGTCTGTATTAATAGGAAAATTTATACACAAAGATGTAATTGCAAAAGCTGCCCAATAAAATGTTAATTTCGCAACTTTCAGAATGGTATTAATAAAATAATCAATGATTTTAAAAAATGAAGGGTAATTTTAGGTTACTTATAAATGCCAATCTAATTATTGTTTATTACTTAAAACATTGAAATGACATATTTGTACCAAGATTCCTGTTTGTATTGTAAATTATATGGATCCTGTTATACAAAATGTTGGGTTCAATTTCAGAATGTCTACTCTTCTATACTCTTATATTTTGATGTAGTGACTTGAATGATTTGACTTAATTAAATGCAAGTAAAAATAAAATCTAACACTACAATCGTAATTTACATCATATGGTACATACCGGTGTACCAATCAGTGCTTTTTGTGTTTACTAATTAAACATTCAGTGAAAGACCCCAGTAAACATATTCCGCAATAAAATCTAACCTGCTTCACTGTCACTGCTATCAGAGGAGCTGGTATCAGTGCTAGACGAGGAGTTTGACGAGTCTGAGGAACTGGAAGATGATGACATCCCTCCACCCAGTCCCCCTTCCTTGCAGCCTTCTGTCAAAAAATACAAATAATTTCTAAATATCAAGGGTGTTTTGAGTCAAACGATAAAATTTTCGTAATGATAAGAATTAGTCACTTTATATCTAGATTATACTATCTTTACCCTATTGCAAATAGCATTTTTCTTGTGTAGTTCATTGTTATACCAAAAGGAATGTAAACAAAAATGGTAAATCACGCACGCACTCTTGACCAAAAATAAAACTGTGATGCGGTTTCAATAAATTGAACAAAAGTAGAATTATATTTCAAAACTGACTTTTACCTGCGTAGTACTTAAAAGCAAAAAAAGAAAGATCTACAATAGGTCTTTGGGCAAGTAGTTCAATTATATATCGAAAAACCACTATATACGTAGTTTGTTTGACTATTATCTTGTCGTCGTTATAATGTGTTATCCACTATACTCTTTAACACTAATTTTTATTGTTAAATGGTGTTGTGTGTTAAACGAAATGTTAAAAATCTATTCTGCATCAAAATTATTGAACACTTGGGTGCAATTCAATTTCATTGTTTGCAGTAAAAAAAACTACAGTGATTGTAAAACGAGACGCGCGAGCAAAAAACTAATTTGTGTTGCAAATCGCAGCGAGCAAATCCGGCAACTGGTGCAGTGACGTCACCGTAATTTGTCAAAAGCTACGGACATAGAGCGCCATTTGATATTAATTATCTCACAGATTATTAAAGAGAAACATTAAAAAACCGTACTTTTGTGGATTTTTTGTTGACATTCGCAATAAAATATCAATGGTCAGATTCATTGTCCGTGATACTTATATAGAAATATATTATTTCGGAAATACATTCATGCTTTCCGAAATAATACATATTATGTAGCTTTTGTCTTGAGACAAAGGTGTAGAAATACCAGAAAGCTCTTACAGCTTTCGATAGATGATGATATAACTGTTTTGTATGTAAATCAGATATAAAATCCTACGCGGGCGACGGAAAGTAGTAGTACCTTGCACCAGAGGCTAGGAGATCTTTCCATAGTCAATTGTTATAGTATCCATCGCTGAAAAGGCGTTGATGATTTCTTCAAAAAAAAATATAATAATTTGTTTATTACGATACTTTAACTCTTCACCGCTGCGTTGGAAGACGTTTTCAAGCTACTGGACTGGAAAGGATACGGTATTAACATCAATGGCGAGAACATCACTCACGATATAGTCCTTATGGCAGAATCGCTGGAGGACCTTAGCACTATGCTCAATGACCTCAATGGTGTCTGCCAACGGATAGGTCTTAAGATGAACATGGACAAAACAAAGATTATGTTCAATGTCCATGTCACACCTATGCCGGTAGTTGTGGGGAGCACTATGCTCCAAGTTGTTGACGAGTACGTTTACCTGGGACAAATAGTCCGACTAGGTAAGTCCAACTTCGACCGAGAGGTCAATCGACGGATTCAACTCGGCTGGGCAGCGTTCGGGAAATTACGACACATCTTTTCGTCAGGTATACCTCAATCTCTGAAAACTAAAGTGTACAACCAGTGCGTGTTGCCAGTGATGACTTACGGATCAGAGACGTGGTCCTTCACTGCTGGCCGTATGAGGACGCTCAAGGTCGCTCAGCGAGCTATGGAGAGGGCTATGCTCGGAGTTTCTCTGCGTGATAAACTCAGAAATGAGGATATCCGCAGTAAAACCAGAGTGACCGACATAGCCCAACGGATTAGTAAGCTGAAGTGGCAATGGGCCGGCCATATAGCTTGAAGAACCGATAACCGATGGGGAAGGAAGGTTCTCGAGTGGCAGCCTCGTACCGGTAGGCGTAGTGTAGGGCGACCTCCCACTAGATGGAGTGACGACCTGGTAAGACATGCAGGAAGTCGATGGATGCAGGTGGCTCAGGACCGTGCTTTGTGGCGTTACTTGGGGGAGGCCTATGTTCAGCAGTGGACTTGTAAAGGGCTGTAATGATGATGATGATGATGATACTTTAACAAGTACAAATAAAAAATACATACCCTTTTTCGGTTGCTGCTTTTTATTAGATCCTAGTTGTCCTGACACATCTTGCAATCTCTTTTCCAGTTCTTGTTTTTTCTCTGCCATTTGTTCATCCTTTGATTTACCCGAAACTTTGCGATCTGAAAATATTTGTAAAAATGTCGTAAAATTAAAAAAATAATGTTGAACATTGAAAGTCGAACATATCAAAAATTTTATAGACGAACTACATTCGGTCGCCGTCGTGATAGGTGGCATCATCGAAAGGCCATCTAAATAAAAAGAAACCCAGCCGTAGTAATTGAAAAAAATTACATAGAGAAATATTCCAACAGAGAATTTTTTTTAATTAAATACATGTAGATTTTCTGTATAATTAAAATCTTTAATTTTATGTACCTATATGTTTTGCTTTTTTGGAGAATAATAGAGTTAATTTTATGATGCAAAGATTTCTCCATTGTTATATATAAGTTGAGTGTAACTGTTATTTGTTAAGAAGTAAATGCCTACACTGATAAAAGTGGTGACGATAAGAAATGCACTAGTACAAAGGCATGGAGAACTTGCATGTGTGACATTGGCGTGCAGTGACGTCTCCGCCGCGCCTGTCACACCGCAGACTGAGTGTCGTTCGTCTAAAAACGTTTTTGAGCATCCATTACTTCATGTATATGCAATAAACTTACGCGTCTTTTTTCGCAGGCAAGATGCAACGTAATTTTCTAACTCTCGTAGGGTAGAAGGTTTCAGAGTTTCAAAATCTATTTCAATTTCATCAGGATTTGAATCCCTCAAAGAAGGCTCTCGACTCTGAATGATATGAACCACTTTGCCAAGCTTGTCACCTATAGGCAAAAAATGTTTTAATTATAAAACCAGTTATCATTTAATCAATGTCATAATAAACATTCTCTATGGGCCTGCGGTTTTTAAGTTTGCGTATTTATATTTTACTGTTTTGCCCACAGAAATCTAAATAATAAGGTACTAGTAATGCCTTCTACTGTCTTAATATCGGGGACGCGTGACTCGATTCGCAGCTTTCACACATAGACAAACAATAAATACACAATTTCGCCTACACATATCTCAACACAAGGAATATTTTATAAAAACGCAAAATATCAGGAGGCGTAGCCACTTAGTCCAATAATTAACGTGTGCGAAAAACAGAGAATGACATTGCGCGCTCAGAGTCTCACATCAAGATATAACTAATTAACTGAAAGTAATAGGCGCTTTTAGTCCTAGCTTTAGCTTTTAAACGTTTTATAATTAAAGAAAAGGGGGTATAATAAAACGTTAAGGATAAGTATATCCATTTATCTTTTATATCTGGATCTTTTGGAAACCTGGAATAATAACATTGTATTAAATAAACAGATGTATAAATAAAATGAATACATACATACATATAATCACGCCTCTTTCCCGTAGGGGTAGGCAGAGACTACTTCTTTCCACTTGCTACGATCCTTACATACTTGTTTCGCTTCGTCTACTTTCATTATTCCCTTCATACATGCTCTACGGTTTAGGGTACTCTTAACCTGGCCTTTTTTCAAGACGTCCCTAATTTGGTCTAGAAAAGGCCGCCTAGGTCTACCCCTTCCAGCACTTCCAATTCACACTCGCCTTATACACTTTTTTTCGTCAATCGTTCTTCATTCATTCTCTCGATGTGGCCAAACCATCTCAGCATACCTTTCTCAATTTTTGTCACTACATCTTCTTTCAGACCACAACGTTTCCTTATCTCACTATTTCTTATCCTGTCACTCAGTTTAACTCCTATCATACTTCTTAATGCTCTCATCTCAACTGCATTTATTCTACTTTCATGTTTCTTCTGCCATACCCAACTTTCACTTCCGTACATGTGTGTCGGAACCAACACCCCCTCATGCACAGCCAAACGAGCCTTGTTAGACACTTTCCGACTGCTCATAAAGGAGTGCAAAGCTCCATTCACCATGTTTCCTGCATTCACTCTTCTTTCGATATCACTCTCACACTTTCCATCTCTTGTAAACTTTGACCCCAGATACACAAACTCTTTCACCTGTTCAATTTGTTCATCTTCAATCACGATATTGCAGTCTGTCACTGCCTCATCTTTTTCAAACACCATCACTTTCGTCTTCTTTACATTCATCTTTATTCCCTTTCTAACAAAAGCTCCACTTATAGCAGTTACCATCTCCTGCAACTCCTCGGCCGAAGACGCAAGTAATACTTGGTCATCAGCATAGAGAAAACATTTGACGAGTAAATGAATATGACATTAAAAAATGAATACAACATTATACAAACACAATATATATATATATATATATATATATATATATATATATATATATATATATATATATATTGCTGTTTGTATATATATGTGGGTGACATATTTATCATTTTATTAGATTTAAATATTTGTAACTGACTTTATGTTTTTTGTTATTTTTCAGTTACCCGGCTTCTTACAGATCGAATTTAGTCTACCACCCGTCAAAATACTTATCCTTACAATATTATTACTTATCCTTACAATATTATTACTTATCCTTACAATATATTAAAATTGCATAAAAAATACCAAGTGATTTAAAACTACTAATAAACAGATAATCGCTAATAAAAGGTTAACGGTATAGATACGAGGGTTGATCCAAAAGTAATGATAATGAAAATAAAACACGGTAATTAAAGTTAAAATAATAATTTATTTTTCTACATAGTCTCCTAACAAATCAATACATTTAGTCCATCTTTTTTCTAAACCTAGGATTCCCTTTGAAAAAAATTCTTTGTCTTGACCCTCCCAAAACGCTTCAACAGCGGCCATTACTTCGCTATCGTCTTCGAATTTCTTGCCTCGGAGGCGTTCCTTGAGCCGAGGAAAGAGATAGAAGTCACTAGGAGCTAGATCTGGCGAATAGGGAGCGTGTTCGACCAATTCGAATCCCGTTTCTTGAATGGCAGCCATCGCAACTGCGGCTTTGTGAGCCGGTGCGTTGTCTTGGTGAAACAGCACTCCAGCTCGCAGTTTGCCGCGTCTTTTTTCCTTAATGGCCTCCCGTAATCTTCTTATTTGGTCTGCGTAGGAAGAGCCCGTAATAGTGGCTCCCTTTTCCAAATATTCCACCATAATTATGCCTTGAGCGTCCCAAAAAACAGATGCCATAACCTTTCCCGCCGAACTTGAAACTTTGAATTTCTTTGGCGTCGGTGAGAAGGCTCGCTCTTCTAAGTCATCGATTGTTGTTTCGTTTCAGGATCAAAAGGGTGGATCCAGGTCTCGTCCATAGTCAAAAGCGGAACAAAAAATTTTCTTGATCCGCTTGGAACTTTTCGAGATTGACCCTCGAAATGTCAACTCGATTTTTCTTTTTCTCGTCGGTTAACATTCTGGGTACCCAATGCGCAGAGGCCTTTTTCATATGCAACTCGTTCGCAAGGATTCTTTGAACGCTGCCATATGAGATCCCTGTGACCTCAGGTACATGCCTGATGGTCACTCTTCGATCTGCCAACACAACATCTTCGACTTTTTTCACGTTGTCTTCAGTGAGGGACGTGGATGGGCGTCCTTCGCGATGTTCATCTTCAGTGGATGTTCTGCCCAGTTTAAACTCCTTGGCCCAGCGTGCAACTGTAGAATATGGAGGAGCAGAGTCCCCCAATGTTTCCACTAAGTCACTGTGTATGTCTCTTGAAGACATTTTTTTCAAACAGAGGTACTTGATGACAGCTCTAAAGTTGTTCAAAACGACTATAACTCAATAGCACGCTAAAGACTATAAAGTAGAAATTTCTATATAAATTTCTATAAATTTCTCTATAGCGCGCTATTTATAAAAAAGTGTGTAGGCCGGCAAGGTCGTTAAGTTTAGAGGCACGCTATATCTCGGAGCACGCTACATTACATATCGTTCATTGGATAGAGCGCGTGCTATATTTATTTCGTCTGAAGTGCTATATAAGAACATTGTTTCGTAATAAGTCGCATTTTAGATTAAAATAAAATAAAGTGGTAAAGAAAAATTAAAGAACGGTCTTTCATACTTTTCAGACTTTTTATAATCCTAAAAATATTTTTAAGGACTGTACTTTTTAAAACAAAATAAAATTAATCATTTTTTAATTATAATTGATGTAAACGTTATTTTAACATTATTATAAATTATAAATCAAAGGTGTATTTAAAAGTTTATTAATTGTATATACAAAAATCAACTATTTACAAACATTATTATATACACTTTTGTATCTATATTTTATTTACATTTAAAAACATTAGTTAGACTTATTTTGTAGCAGACAACTGTGTCCTTCGATCACTTATAAATATACAGTATACACTAAATAAAAAACGTCTAATACTAAATTAGTTCGCACGCGATGAATAGCGCGCTGCTAAATTAAATTTGCGTCACACGTCTACTCCCAACAGCGCTGCTGCTAGAACTAATCGCCGCTTGATATGAATAGCACCAAAGCGTCATAGCGTCATAGCACCATGGCGACTACTTACATAGCACGCGCTATGCGTTATGAAGAGATAGCGCCCTATAATATGGCGCTATGCGCTATATTAACCACCATTAGACAGCTCTAATTTCGTTTTTCTCCATGTTGATGTTATCTCTTTGACAGTTCGTATTCAAATGAATGTATATCCCGGAAATCGTGATCTATTTATGATTTTTTTTAGGCTGACGTAGTGAGTATATAAGCAAGCAAAAAATATTTTATTTAGATTTTTATGCGGACCTGAAATAACCGATTATCATTACTTTTGGATCACCCCTCGTAGAACAAAGAATAGAGGTGTAAATAAATATTTAACGAAAATCACATTTGATTCCTATTTCTGTAAAAATAGGTAAGCCAATCATAATAAATTATCGATACAAAATAGTAGTTTCACGCCACTAACTCGCGCTGTACTCCTGCGGCCGTGTTCTTAAAAATGTTACGTTACGTAAGTACGTAACAATATTGTTTATTGCCCATACTATAAATTCGTCGATGCTTTTAGCTGTCGTACTCTACCATGAACTAGCTTAAGAATCAATGGATATTGAAATGAGAAAACAATTACATTTTCGGAGACAATCGTAGTACTAGAGGTGAATAATTTTATATTTCATTAAAAATAGCATATTTCATTATATACAACATTATTTAAAACACTAAGTATGTACTTATTTATGAAATGTTATCCCTTTAGTTGAAAATTTGCGAGTTGTGGCAGAATTTCCGCAGATGGATATGCTTCAAAACACCATATTTACGTCTCTGAGTCCAAAATAACACTGGTGACCGAAACAAACGCTCCTTGCGCGTTTGTGGCCTACGAGTCACATGTGCGGCGACAAGGTCACGCGCTTTTACGACTTTTATTGCCTTTAAGATTTGTGGTTTGTCTCTCGTATTTTATTTCGAACAAAAATATCACTACTGAATTGCAGCACTAACTAAATACTAAGTAAGTAAAAAGTAAAAAATATATAAGAAATAGGAAATGTTCTGCCCGCAGGTCTGATTGAAATTCATAGATGAAGAAAATAATAAATTTCGTATACTACTCCTTTTTCTAGCATAACAATGAATAATTTATACCCATAACCCAGTTCCAAAGCCTTTGGGACTATTGAAGTATTTTAGGTGCATGTACCTGGTAGCTTGTTGATGTCGAGCGAGAGCTGGCGCTTCTCGTCGTAGGACATGGGCTTGGCGACGTCCTCGTCGTCAGTGTCGGGGTGCGCGGGCGGGTGCGGCGCCGGCGCGGCGGTGGGCGTGGAGCTCTTCTTCTTGGCGGGCGCGGCGCCGCGCGACCCCGCCTTAATGCCGCCGCCGCCCCCGCCGCCCGCGCTCGCACCACCCCCGACACCGCCGCCGCCGCCGCCGCCGCGCTTGCTGCCCGGCTTGCCGCGCACTCCGGTCGTTGCTAACGGACAACCCGCTCATAAATATCATACCGTTATTTCAAATTCCATACTTTACATTTCAATTCGTATCTTTTGATGTGTAACATCTTTCCTCTCACTTTTCCGCAATCTGTGGGAGTGATTTCGTGAAAAGCGACGTGTGTGATGCAACGTATAGACACTCGCCGAGCACGCACGAGTAAGAGTAAGAGCATGTAAACACCTTGTTCGGGTGTTCTTGCTACTCGGCTCGAGTATTCGCCTGTTTTCCACTCGATGTCGGTTTTTTGGCAAGAGTAAAAGGAATGCTCGTGTATATATTGGTATCAGTGTTGGCGTACTCGTGATTATTCGCTTGGCCCGTGAACTTTTAAACTTTATTTTTCTTATAAAATAATATAAAAAAATTATAAAAATGAACCTACTGTGAATTGGAGTAACGAATCCACTATTTTTATAGAACTTTATCAAGGAAAATCTATGGGGAACATATGGGAGGGTCCTAGAAATCAGTTTTAAATAAATATTTCATCATCATTATTGCATTTCATGAAAGTCATCTCGACTGATTCTGCATCGGGAAAAAAGCGCGCTGCAAGCTCATTCCTGCTGTAAAGCCATCTCAGTAATAAAATAAAGACAATGATCAGCAGCTAGACCTATGTAGGCTGCTTATTTATTTTGAATGAAGTTTAAAATATAACATTAAGTTCCAAACATAATTTCGGAGATATTAATAATTCCAAAGATGAGTAGAACAGGATTCATGTAATTTAAAAAATCTATTACAAGATCAAGAAATTATACACCCATTACATGTAACATGCCAATAGTGAGTTGCTTTTTGTGTAATGCAAACAGTATGTTTGCGCCTGATAGTTCCCGAAGCTTGCCATTTCAATAGAAATAACACTGATGTGTAGTAAATCAGGCTTTGTGTCTAAATAATAGAGGTCAATATCTATTAATATTAGGTTTTAATTGTGTGGACGTAAGAACAGACAATGCTCAATTTTATTAAAGCAAGCAAAACTCAATTTTATGACAACGCATCCAAACCCTTTTCTCCTTTGGACATGTTGTTAATCGCGAGTGTTCTAACAGTTTGAATGAACTAGATTGACCTAGAATGTTCTATATTTCTTTCAATGTATATAAAAGCGTTCCCCGGCGAAGAAAGAATTAATTATTTCGGGAATGCTATAGTGAACTGTACTCTGGGAAGCGACTACATTAATTGAGCTACATTTGCGAACATTAAGGAAATCTGCGGAAAAGCTTAGCTTTTTTTTGGTGGCCGTAATTTTACACTTGCTGTGGTGTGTGTGAAAGAATACATCAATTTCTTCTCATCCTAATCGGCATGAATACAAAACTAATTAATTAAAATGCCCATACTTAAAAATATAGATTAATATTTGCCAATAAACTTTGTCGTTTATCAACAAAGAGTAAAAAACAATTCTACATCCTTCAATTTAAAGCAGATTTTTGCACAAAGTTGATGGATGTAGTTTCTATGGTATGCAGTGGACTTGCGATGGGCTTTAATGGTGATGATGATGAATAATATATGGAGGGATAAGATACATACCCATGGTCTCATTAATATTATTTGCTTTTGTGCCATAAGCTGTGACAGTATTTGCTTTGGGAATGCTACTACTTGTCATTTGTTTCTTTTGCTTTTCCTTTGTTTTCTTTTTTGCCTTTTTCTTATTATTAGATTCTTCCACAAGTTTCCTCATTTTCTCTTGCAGGGCAAGAAGTTCTTTCTCAAGTAGCTTAACTTTATTATTTCTTTCTTCTTCTGAATCATCAGATTCAGTTTCGGATCCAGAACCAGATTCAGAACTGGAAGCAGAACTTCCTTTATCCATAGTATGAGGAACCCCAACATGAACAGGCTCATCAGGAATTTTGGCATATCTATAATTAAAAAAAAAATATTATACACTTAACTCTTCAAGTAACGTAAAAATTCTCTTATCAATAGTAATTTTTGACATTGTAAAATTTACCTCATCTCAAAAACATCTTGTAATTTCCTAGCCATTGCAACGACATCGTGATCCGGTGGATTATATTTGTAGCAATTTGTAAATACTAAACGTACGTCAGCAGCAAATTCAGCGGCTGTTTTGTATGCTCTGTTATCCATCTTTTGCTTTACAGTTCCAAGATCCATTGGTTTCTTAATAATATCAAAATAATCATGAAGACCGAGCAATTCCGCATCTACAGGTTTGTAAAATGGCCACGCATATCCCTGTCGAATACGTTGTTGCTTTACTGTACACTTAATAAACCTTTGCAAATCAATGGATAAAAAATATACATATATAAAATGAAAATGTTATTATCTCATATTTCAAAAATCCAAAACCTATGTTTTATCAAACTCGAAATTTGCCTTAAATATTGAAGGTAAAATATGATAAAAACTATAATATACTTACTGAATGTTTCTTAGAAAATAATTCTTTTAATATTTCATTACAACTCTTGAGAGCGTCGGACAGTTTTTCTTTACCCTTAGCCATTTGAGGTGTCATCACAGAATGATGAGATGCTCCAGCAGATCCCATGCCTGGCGATAATCCCCCCATTTTAAAACTTTCATCACCTACTCGTGCAGCCTTAAAAAAATATGAAAATTCCATTATATAATCCGAGCTAAGTTGATAGTTTCTAGGAACATTCTATATGAAAAACCTTTTTCTGGCGTCCACTCTCTCTCCTTGTAGAAATTTTGGCTGGTTTTGGCCCACTTTGTTGATCAATTGTTGGAGTTGTATAACCTCCTTCAAAGGAGCTGCCCATGGGAGTAGTTGTATCCGCTTTTCTTTTTACGCCTTTCTTTACCTGTAAATATAAACATACTTTAATTTGGAATATCACACCAAAGAGTCATCTCTTGACAATTTATATAATACTCGCCTTAGCGGGCTGAGTCTGGGATAAAGTTACCGCCGGTATAGTGGAGACAGGTGTAGCTGCAGCTGGAGTAACATGAAAACTAGATGGTTGAGTTGCCACCTGAAAAAAAAATGCCTCGTAACCATAAACATAATCAGCAATTGCAAAAAAATATCAAGTTCTTTTATACCTTTGGTCATAGTTTGTGGTGGTTAAGCAATATTTGATATGAAGTTATAAGTTGGAATGTTATTTTATTTTCAGATTTGACTTTTTTGTATTATACGTGGTCGAACAGAAAATTTATATTATGCCATATTTAAAATAAACAAATAACGATATAGCTTAAATAGCGCGAAAAACATAGATTATTGGTAAGACTTGTGCATAAATAATCCTACCCAAGTTCAAAGTATGAAAGTCTATGAAAAATAATGAGTGATCCCAAAATCGACATTCACTTTCATGATATAATAAAACTTATTTTTAGCTAATGAAGCAACAAACCAACACAATGTGATTTAATTTTAAACCTACAAAGTCATGGACATGAAAGAAGAAACAATTATGAGTGAAAATGATATATTGATAAAAATTAAACTTAAAACAAACTAAAAATAAGAGGCGTCAGAGGGACACACTACGGGAGATGGGCAGCAGCATCTTCTTGATAATAATTCAAAATAATGAAACTGCGGCAGATATGGAAGACATCCCCCATATGAGTTATAAGATAATCAACTACCCTGTGGAATCTCTAATATTTCCTATTGGAAATAATTCTTTTTAGTTCTTTGAAGTTAGCTTTTACTTTTTCTAAGTTTAATTTTAATTTGCTGGGATAAGTATATTTCTAATAATTTACAATCAATGAATATTTGGTTGCTGGTCAACAGCTCACCAGGTATATAAAATACAAAAAAAAATATAAAGAAGGTACAATAGGCCCTTATCGCTATGAAAGCGAATTTTTAGACAGCTTTTTAATGCAAATAACTTATGTTTACAAAGAATAACAAAGAATGAGGTGTATATAAAAAGAAACAATTATAATGTATCAACTTCTTTCATTGGTTATGGAATTACATATTATAAAATATAATATAGAAAATATGTTTTAATTTTCTGGTTGCTTAATCACAACACTGCAAGGCTTGCTTAATTTTAATTAATATAATAAATATTACAAAATTGAACACACCAGCCCACTCCTACAGCTGCAGTTTATTTCAAAAAGATATCAGTAGTATTTTATGCACAAGTCCCTCAGCTAGTATTTTGGCAGAAAATAAGACAAGACTTGTCAATGGAACTAAGTAATGCTTTAAGTTGAACATATTTAAATCAAAACTTCCTTACTTATTTACAGCACATTATAATAGCATTACCTGCTGAGGCAAACCGGTGTGCGTGGCTGGCGGCGTAGCTGCGGAAGCAGTGAGCGTGGGGGTGGTTGTGGTGTTCGTGGAGCCCACGAAGGCCGGCAGAGGCGTCGTGGGCGCGACCTTGACTGGCGCTCGGACCGGTAGCGCGCCTGCTCCCGCGACCGCGCCCGCGCCCGCGCCTGCGCCCGCTCCGCCCACCGACCCACCCGAACCACCAGTCCTCTTTTTAACACCTGCTTTTGCACTATTCGATGGAACTTCTATCTCCTTCTCTTCTTTGTCCATTTGGGCTATCTGTTGTTTAAGTGTTAGAAGTGAGATAAGGTATTGTAAGAATGCTTGAATACTTAGTGTTATGTCGAGTTCTACTCGACATAACTATTTAATGTAAACTTCCTACGAGAAAATATTGTATACTGAAATTTTATAAAATATTACCATTCATCAACATGCCCATCCTTAAAAATTATAATCATTCTCATTAGTTGACGCATTTATTTATTAAAATGGTTGTGGGATGCCTTTTACCTTATTATTAATGAATGTGTGAACTTTTTTTGTAAATTTACCAATCTACAAAACAGTTATCTTTTCTTTATCTTTTTATGATAAAAGAGGCAGTATAAATTTAGTAAGTGATTTCTAAGATTATGCTGCGCGGCGACTAGACTAACTACTGCGACTACTTGCCACTAGACAATCAGTGTGGAAGTGAAACAGCCTTGACAGAAAATTAAAAATTTATAACCAATGTCAACTGAAATATAGAAAAATAGCTTAACAACCTAATTAAGTCTTTAAATAAATGGATTCACAGGATTTTAAAACCTAATATGATTTTCTGGCCACAACATGCTGCTGATGAACCCATAACTAGTAAAATATTATGATAATACTGATGTCTTCTTGGTTCATCTGCAACCATAGGATACATACAGTTACAAGTTCAAGCGCAAATGCAGCACTCACTCATTCTAACCTATGTATATCCGATATAATGGTTTTTCCAAGGATTGGAGCAACTAAAAGACCAGAAAATAAGTATAATTACAGGATGGCACTACTATATTATAAATATGCTAACAGCATGCAAAAGGGGGCCAGCCGACCTTGGCTCCTTCATTCAGAAATTTAACAATGGAATACACTAACCACCTTCAATTGTTGGGTGTTGAGATTTCCTCAAACCTAAACATCAGTTCATTGAATCTAAGGTCAAATACTGTATCTAAAACGTCCCGTCGTACGTTGAGTCTAGCTACCACATAGCAGCTTTAGACAACTCAGCCAGTCTCCACCCTTTCGTTGTTGACATATCACATATTGAAACAATGATGCAATGATGCAGATGAACCAAGTAGTTAGGTATAATAGTTTGCTTAGAATGTGTGATATGCCAACAGCAAAGCAGTGGAATAAGTTGCTAGCATCTGACTTTCTATCCAATTATAATGTGGATGTCTTCAAAGCAACAGTGAATCGGCTTTTGTTAAGCTAAGTCCAGTGCACTTTACCATATCCAGCTGCATCACCTCTAACCATCAGATGGTATAATAATCAAGCCAGTGGCTTAAAATAGTTAAAAAAAAAACATAAACAATCTCCAATAACTTTATCATTGTTTTATATTTCAATAGCAAATAAATAACATTATTATTGTCTTACCCGGTTTAAAAATAATTTTTCTAATGTTTGAGCCATAACAACTACATCTTCTCCTGGTTTGTTGTAAACATAGCAGTTTGTAAACATTGTATTAAAATCTTGGATACATTCTTGGGCTGAATAATAGTAGTTTGACTCAAGACGTTTTTTTATAGTACCCAAATCCATAGGCTTTTTTATAATTTTATGGTAGTCCTGCAACCCAACATGTTATTTATAGATTGTCAGTCTTAAATATAAAATAAAAGTTTTATTAAAAAATATATAATGTACATACTGGAAGATTCAATTTTTTTGCATCTACAGGCTGGTGGAATGGCCATGCAAATTTATGTTTCCAAACTGCTTTAATCACATTTTTTTGAAGGAACTGTAGTTGATTTGTTATCCGCCCCTGTCGGCGTGGTGCATCCTCTGGCGGAGCTCCATTGACTGGTTCCGCCGTTGGCTGTTAAATATACAGAACTTAATAGAATACAGAAGTCTTTCACTGTTACAGATTTGAATTGGAAATATTTAAATTATATGAAATAATAATTTTAGTGAAAATTATCTCATCATTTTTATACGTCATTTATATAGAGCCATGCTACAACTTTATTACTGGTATAGTTGTAGCACAAATGGGTCGGCTCGACTGGGGAAGGAGCACACTCTCATAGAACAACGGTCCTCAACCCTGGGGTCGTGAGGTCGCCAAAAAAGTTAAAAAGGTCCTGTATTTATCGAATTTTATTAAGGTTTATGCATAAAATATAACCTCTCTTTACATACACAATTACACAATTTCCTTAAAACGGAGAGAATCTAAAATAATTACGACTGTACGACCTGTCCAGTCCCGCCGGTGAAAACCTCACCGCTCCCGCGCCCGCGCCCCCACCCCGATCGCTCTTTCTTCGTTCAGTCTGTCTGTTCAGTCAGTTCTATCCGCACATGCGTACTCATCGCCGCTTTGTCGATTGCAAATAGATACTAAATTGATGTCAAAACACGGAAGATTACTTCTGTAGAAAGTTTTTTTAGAAGATTAGTGTTCTCGTGGATAACCACGCACGCACACGGTAAGTAACTGTGCACTCATACTTAGAAAATAAAGTGAGGCGTCAACGCAGCGCGGCCATGTCGGACGCGTGGGTTCAATAACAAAACCAGCGCGAAATATTTTTTACGCTTCACTTATGTATTTTTAGGGTTCCGTTTGAGAAACAAGGAACCCTTATAGTTTCGTTGAAAACAAAGTTACAACTAACATCCAGTCATATCATTACTTGCTACCACGGAACCCTTCATGGGCGAGTACGACTCGCACTTGGCCACTTTTTTTGCTTGTCTATTTGTGCTTCGTTGAAAATAAATTTGATGTAAATCCTGTTACCACGCGAGCATATGACGAAAAATCTAATATTAATCGTTTGGAATACATTTTTTATTTATTAATACGTATTTATTATTGCAGTTAACAATGGATAAGTGGCTAATAAAACGCACATCTACAGATGCAGGTGGCGGAAGTCCTAATAACGCATCACAAATCAAAAGAATTAAACACGTAGTTCTTGACAGCAGTGTCGCCTCAGATTCTACAATGACAACTACTGTTACGAGTAATATAAGTCGTGAGACCAATGCCATCACTTCAAGTACTAGCAGTGTTATTACTATCGATGAAAGCAGAGAAACATCTAGTTCCAATACTATAACTATTAGTCATAACAGCGATGATTGTAGTTCAACAGCCACATCTACCTTACACATCGATACAGAGAGTGACGCTTCAACTTAAACTAAACAAGCAACAGCTACATCGGAGACAACTGGGAACGTCAACGCATCTTTAAAGAATCGTACATCCAGTTTGGTTTTAAATGTAGTGTTGAATTTTGAACAACGTCCACAGTGCGTTGTTTGTTCGGAGGTTTTGGCAAATGAGAGCATGAAGCCGGCCAAACTGAAAAGGCACCTAGAAACTAAGCATCCACAGTTAAATAAAGATGAATCTTATTTTAAACGACTTGCCACCAAACTAAAGTCACAGCAGGTTGATTTCCAAAAATACACAACAGTTAACCAAAAAGCCTTACAAGCATCTTTCGAGGTTTCCTTTTTGATTGCCAAAACTAAAAAACCTCACAATATTGGCGAGACGCTCATTTTGCCAGCTGCAATGAAAATGGTTTCGATCATGCAAGGAGAAAAGTATGCCAATTTACCGAAAACAATTCCACTATCAAGTGACACTGTTCATCGTCGTATCAATCTACTTGCTGATGATATCAAAATACAACTTATAGATCGCATGAAAGGGAGTCCCTATTATGCTATTCAGCTGGAAAGCACTGATGTAGCTAACGTAGCTCGACTTCTGATATTTATCCGATACCGATATGAAAACGACATATGCGAAGATTTGTTATTTTGTCAGGGATTAGAAGGAAGAACAACCGGTGAAGCAATTTTTAATGCAGTTAATACCTTTTTTGAACTCCATGACATAAAGTGGGAATATTGTGTATCTGTGTGTACAGACGGCGCAGCTGCATTGACCGGCTCCAAAACAGGATTCAAAGCAAAAGTAACTGAGATTGCACCTCACGTAGGCTTTGTTCACTGTATGATTCACCGTGAAGCCCTTGCAGCAAAACATTTGCAACCAGATGTAAATAAAGTGTTGGAACAAGTCGTAACAATAATAAATTTTATTAAAGCTCGCGCATTAAACAGTCGCCTTTTCAAAATAATGTGTCGTGAAATGGGATCAGAATACGAAAATCTACTGTTACATACGGAGGTCAGGTGGTTATCGCGAGGAAAAACACTCCGACGTGTATTTGATCTCAAAGATGAAATCAGAATATTTCTACTTGAACGGGAACCAAAGCTAGCGGAATATTTTTTGAATGAAAATTGGTTGGCAACAGTTGGCTATCTTTCGGATATTTTTGAAAAACTTAACGATTTAAATCAATTGTTGCAAGGGAAGAGTACAAATGTATTGATTTTAGTTAACAAAATAAAAGCTTTTTGTAGGAAAATAAGTTTGTGGATAGACGAAATCAGTGCTGAAAACTACGAGATGTTTGCATGTTTGGAAAAATTTTCTGAAGAAAACAATATAAAGCTCGAAGAAAAAATTAAAACCAAAATCATGATGCATCTTACAAACCTTAAGCATGACTTGGAAATAAGATTCCCAGATACGTCACACGGCGACCAATGGATAATTAATCCATTCACTTGTGATCTTAACACTGTGAAGATGAAATTAAAAGAAAAGGAGCAGCTGATCAATTTAATGTCCGATGAAAGCCTTCGATCTATTTTCAAAACCACAGATCTATCCAAGTTTTGGATAATGACGGAAAAGGAATATCCACTGTTATTCAAAACATCTCTGCTGAAATTGCTGCCATTCGCATCTACATACCTTTGCGAGACAGCTTTCTCCACATTAACTGCTTTAAAAACAAAATATCGCTCCAGACTTAACGTAGAACCTGATTTGAGGGTGTCTGTTTCTGATAATATATCACCAAGAATTAATATACTGACTGCAAGTGTGCAAGCACAAGGTTCACATTAGATTGTAAGGATTACGTATATGTACCTTCTTTTTTAAATAAAATACTAAAATAATTGCTTGTCTCATTTAATGTCATCATAAATATTACTCGTATGTTAAATGCATATTTTCTAGTTTGCTCTAATATTACTTTCCAAAATAAATAAACTCTTCAATACAAATAATTTACGAAATAAAAACAGCTAACTTCGTTACCTGAACCAACCTTTGCACTTGTTAACTTAGTGATTTCTTTCTGGGGTCGCTCATAACTCTTTTTTGAATTTTGGGGTCGCAATATCAAAAAGGTTGCGGACCGCTGTCATAGAATACCAGCATAAAATAGCAACTAAATGCTGATCTGTTTCACATGGTGAGTGTAGAGAACCGGAGACCCTTTTTACTGGAAACGAGGCAATCCATCTTAGTCCTCAAGGGTGACAATGCATCTGCATTTTGATTTGTAATAGAGGATGGATGTAGATGTCTATGGACCGCAGCAACCACTTACCATCAGGTGGACTGTGTGCTCGTTTGTCACCCTATCTTATAAAAAAAACATTAGTGTAGTAAAACATGTAATGATTTTAAAGGATCACAACTTACATTTTTCCCTAAAGTATGTAAATAAACTAATATTTAAAATACTTACAGTGCTTGTAGTTGCAAGAGGATCTACGGCCTGTTGCATTGTGCTGGAATCTGCAATCTACCTACCAAAATAAACAAAATTCTGTAGTAAGGGTTAATACATTTGAGAATTACTATTACATAACTAAAAACAATGAAAGAAACTCACCTCAATTGTTACAAGAGGTTCGTCCAGTTTCTGGCTAAGAGGCATCAGCTAAATCCTCTAATAACATTAAACCATTCTATCATAATAAATTTTTTGGTGCAGATGCACCTAGCATGACCACATCCCAATCATTGATAAAACTTCACTACCTAAAAAGAAATTAGGATCTGTATTATATATTATTTAAGTTTTATAATAATAATTTGTTCAGTATAATTATATTTACCTGGCTCAGATCACTAGAGCAAGGTCCAAACTAGATTTAAGTAAAAGTTATTATATACATCTGAAAATTAAATTAAAAAAATTAGCAACTAAAGCAGACTTGTTTAACGATTGAGATAATTAGAACACAACAATAACATTAACTAATTGTACTGGGTTTTACTCTGAAATTTCCAAGTACTTTTGTAGAAAAAATTCGTAATTAAACACAGTATCAGGCTATGATTGACACACTTCCACTATATAAATAGAATATCACTGATATTTCTTTTATGGAAATACTAATAGCAGTACATGTGTTTTAACACAATTTAAAAGAAATTATTCAAAATCTAGAAAATGGAAACCAGTTTTAGCAAGGGCTGGCAAGTATGCAGATGATTTCCATTTAAATCTCCTGTAATTTTGAGTCTATTGTGTATGGCACTGTTGATTTATTGATATCTTTATTAACTAATTTGCCTAATTTTTCTGACTGGTAGATTGAAGCTTCAATCTAGGTACACTAAATCTTAGTTTAGCTTAATATGTTATTCTTAAAATTAACATTAGCCACATCAAATATACAAAATAATAGTAAAGTTAGTTACAGGCTATATATAATCTGTTCACTTAGATAGTGTTGGTAGACCCAGGCGCACTTATTATTTTGCTTTTTAATTATTAGTGTTTGTTAAATAAATATTTTTCTAATATGATATTATAATAATCTGATTATTGTATTCACTATGGTGCTTTGTTTTAAAATGCCAAATTCTCCTGCAGGTGTACGCTGCATGCGGTGACTATTGAAGTCAGGTGCCATTGACAAGATGCAGCATGCGTCAAGGTGGCATGACTCAAAAGCAACCATATCTAAGTGAACAACTATACATCCTACTACAGAGTATAGACCTCATCTCATTTCTAAAAAGTTTATGGAGCAATTAGTCAGCTGCACTGCTCCTGATGGGAGTAACATGAGATAAAATAAAACAGTGCAATGTAAAACTGATGACTATTTGAAGGATAAGGACTGCAGAAATAAAATTACTTCTGCACTAGTGGTGAACTAGCACAAAAATAATATTATAACACCAACATAACATAATTCCATTTAACTATTCAAATTGAAATAAAAAAAAAGACCAAGAAAAGCAATGACCCTATAGTTTTATGCCAGTTCTTCCATTTTTAGGTCTCACTTTTTTTAACTAGCAAATTTTGATGTTTATAATAACTTTATACAAGCCTAAAAATGAATAAAATATTTACGACTTTGAATGACAATGAAAGTATGCAATGTAGTTGTGTGTCAGAAGTTGTTTTATAACCTAAAACTACCTATATTTTTGTTAGAGAACATTTAAATAAAAGCAATTTGAAAAATTTCTCTACAAGTAGCCATCAACTTATACAAATCATAGCAAAGTATTTTTTAAAAGACAAGGAATTTACAAGATATTTATTTCAGATTTAAATTTTGCAAATATTTAGGTTTTTCCGAGCCCTGGGCAAAATATAAAAATGTAATGCAAAATTAAATAATTGAAACTTTAATTAGCTGAATAAATATTCTTTCCTGAATAGCATTGATTTAATACTGCAAATATAATATACCAAAGCAAAAAATGTCATTTGATTAGAAACATAGCCAATCAATTGCCAACAATTATAAATTTACCAAAGCAAAAAATGTCATTTGATTAGGAACATAGCCAACCAATTGCCAACAATTAGCAACAGACAGAACCACAATAACAACATAGACAACCCATTGCAAACAACCAAACCCAGCGCCAACCAACCTGTCAAATTTGGCAACTATGGCAAATATCCCCATAAGAGGCAATCTAATAGGCATATGTACAGCATTAGACTGATGATGGTGATAGTAAAAGTTGGTTGTTATTATGTTTATTTTAATTTAACTACTATCAACCCTTATTACCAGGTACTGCTAATAATACATAAAAGTATTACTAACATACTTGGTGAATGGAAGTGCAAGCTATCATAGAAACGTCAGACAGATAGTCTCCTGTTGCTGCTCTGACATACTATGTGAAACCAGATAGCTATTAATTAGCAGGCTTATATTTTGAATAAAACTAAATTTACGGATTTTATCGCGTTTATTTCATTACTTTTACTTATTTTTAATTCCCGACGTTTCGGGTGCTTTACAGCATCATTTTGCGTAAATCGGACCAAAAATTAATATTCAAAAACTGAAGGTAGCGGGACTAACTATGACATTGGGACGTCAAACATCTCAGTCCCACCCGAGACCATGGGTGCTGTAAAGCACCCGAAATGTTGGGAATTAAAAATAAGTAAAAGTAATGAAATAAACGCTATAAAATCCATAAATTTAGTTTTATTCAATGTCAAACTGTGTTCGTGTAAATTTAAGAAATCATTAGGCTTATATTTGCTCATTAATACTAGTTATTTCTATTTATTATTTCCCTTTTTTTCTTGCATTGCAAACTTATATGCATAACTAACTTAGAACTCATCTCTATTCGTTTATATATCCTACAACTGGGCATAGGTCTCCTTTCCTTTTGTAAGAGGTTTTGAAAAGATTGTTTTTTGGTAAAAACAATTAAGTTCCGAAATGTTTGTAAAGTCATCCATAGCAAAAAGAATCAAAACTGAAAGCAGACTTCTAATTGTCACAAAACTACTTTGCAACTTATTTCATTAAAGTTAATATTTAAAGTAAGATTTTTGATTATAAGAAACATGACCAATAGTATATATTATTAAATTAGTTAATATTATGATTCTATAAAAATATATGGGTGTATAATATGATTAATTTGTGTCATGAAAGTAAAATAGTTTAAACCATACTGTTTAAAATTTTATGATGTGATTATGAAAATGAAATCATAGTATCTAATCACATCTCTGATCATAAGATATCTAAGGAATGTTTTTATAATAAAATAAAATCTACTTTATTTTCCAAAATATAAATTCAAAATTTTGTTTGTCAAATATCAACATGTTTTACTGTTTCAAAATGAGTTTAAGATAAGCATATGAATTATTTAATATAGCAGCAAATATACTTTTTCACCCAATTGAAAAAAAATTAGGTTCTCAATTTGTTGGAATCTTTTTTTTATGTATGTTCACTAGAGATGGGCCGAATATAGATTTTACTGAATACGAATATTCGGCCGAACATTATTCGGCAGGATCATCTCGGTACCTAACCAATTTATGTCAAAACTTGTTGCCATAGCGCGCGTGGGACTAGCGCCGGACCTTGCCCCTAGCTCTCCCGCCACACCTGACATGTTATTGCATCATCTAGTATTGAGCAAATTGCCTGTACATGCTTATGTTTTGACTATTTATGTGAGAAAAAGTATTTCGTTGTGTTATTCTTAGTGAAAATTCATAATTACATAATAAAAATGAGTGGCAGGAGATTATTCTCTGGACTTATTTTAGAGAAACTGACGACCAAAGTAAAGTGAATTGTACTATTTAACATAATGTAATGTTTCTTTGTTTGATTTTAAAAACATTTTATCAAGCTTTCTATTTGCTATAATTGGAAATAAATCTACAATGCCTCAAAAACATAACACTATACAAGTAGATTTAACCCATAAATAAAATATACTTTATGGGTTAACAGTAAAATTATAAAAGACATGGCATTACTCAATTCGTACATTTTAGTACAGTGGACACCTTGAGTACCACTTTAACGAATGTTCGGTGATTTAGCCGAATATTTGGCTGAATATGAATATTCAGTAAAACTGCCGAATATGCCAAATATAAAACGAATATTCGATCCATCTCTAATGTTCACCGATAACTCAAAAATATCTGTACCGATTTGGACAATTCTTTCTTGTTTCGAAGAGTACTACCCAGGTGGTCCCATTTAAATTTTATCAAAATTGGTCAAGCGGTTTTAATAAAATCAACAATAAATTATTTTTTATATTAAAGTTGGTGCACAAATTTTCTAATTTTACCACCTGCTACCATGTCCATTATTTGTTTAAACTAATCATAAAAAAAGTCTCAAGACATTTAGTCAAAGCTTTTCTGCTAAATCCTTTCAGAAATGAGAGGTTACCTATACTCAACAGTGGAGCAAATACTGATGATTTTTTTACCGTATGTATAAAAATAGGGTGTAACAGGTGAACAAAATATTAGCCTATGGCACTGATATTTAAAAAATTTTTGTTTTTACATTAACATATTATGAAAATGATCTATCAATAAATACTACTAATTGGGTGCATATTATTTTAATTTTGATAGATTTTAATTGATCTATTTATTTCATTCAAAATTTTTGTTTTTAAATTTTTTAGTACTGAAAGTTGATTTCAAACTAGTAGTATTTACTGATAGATCAATTTCATATGTTAATGTATAATAAAAAAAATCATAAAATATCAGTTCCATAGGCATCTATTCCGTTCACCTGTTACACCCTATTTTTTTCCATAAGTTAAAAAAAAACTCCCAGTATAGGTTGTTTGTTACTTTACTTTTTATAAATCATAGAATTGACATATAATACAATCTTATTTCATTGTAATTATATAATTAATTTTTAAATAGAAATGTTCTTTTTGAAGGCATCTTGATAACCCTCAAGATGCCTTGTCTTGTCAATTGTAAGAACAGGTGCATAATAATATTAAGAATATATTATTTACATAAAATTATCTCAATGTATCATCTCAATACATTTTGCGAGATGTATATTATTATATCTATATACTATTCCTAATGCAAATAAAATTAAAGATACAGATTATTATGTCACAATTTTATATTTGTTTTGAAAT